TGCTACTTTAGTTAATCTCCTATGTTCTTTCTTAAATTAAATGTAAGCTGGTAACCAGGTTGAATCAAGTTTACTAGATTTGTTTAAATCTCTGAAGGCAACACACTTTTACACGTCCACTTTCTTCTGGGGCACATTTTGTACTTCATTGTTCAGTACGCTGGTTTCATCTAGATCTAGAGCAGCGGTTCTCAACCTTTTATGCTCGGCGACCCCTTTTTACATTCCCCCACTCTTTCGAAACCCCTGCACACACACACACACACACACATACAGCAATAGAAGAATAGACAATAACAATCTTTATTTTCGATGGTCTTAGGTGACCCCTGGCAAATCGTCAATCGACCCCCAAGGGGGTCGCGATCCACAGGTTGAGAACCCCTGATCTAGAGCTTACAAATAAATGTCGTAGACTCTAAAAAAGCAGAATCTGGCACTTAATGGGCATCGTGAAGAAGAATGACAAGGACAAAATTTTGGTCATTTCTAGGGGGGTTGTGAAATTACTATTTAAGAACGATCCACTCCTGAGAGAACATTAGCTTCGAACCAAACTGAGTTCCAGACCAAACACGTCCATGTCTCCACAAACACGTCCATGTCTCCACAAACACGTCCATGTCTCCACAAACACGTCCATGTCTCCACAAACACGTCCATGTCTCCACAAACACGTCCATGTCTCCACAAACACGTCCATGTCTCCACAAACACGTCCATGTCTCCACAAACACGTCCATGTCTCCACAAACACGTCCATGTCTCCACAAACACGTCCATGTCTCCACAAACACGTCCATGTCTCCACAAACACGTCCATGTCTCCACAAACACGTCCATGTCTCCACAAACACGTCCATGTCTCCACAAACACGTCCATGTCTCCACAAACACGTCCATGTCTCCACAAACACGTCCATGTCTCCACAAACACGTCCATGTCTCCACAAACACGTCCATGTCTCCACAAACACGTCCATGTCTCCACAAACACGTCCATGTCTCCACAAACACGTCCATGTCTCCACAAACACGTCCATGTCTCCACAAACACGTCCATGTCTCCACAAACACGTCCATGTCTCCACAAACACGTCCATGTCTCCACAAACACGTACATGTCTCCACAAACACGTCCATGTCTCCACAAACACGTACATGTCTCCACAAACACGTACATGTCTCCACAAATACATAACGAACTTATTGTAATGGTGGATGAGAATGAGATAAATAGGTTTCGATTTTTTAAACAGTTCACCTGACATCACAAAACTGGATTAATTTTTTTAAATGTTGAGGTTACGTTGTCATAGATACTGACGTTCTTCAAATTCTGTAGTCTTTCTTTGACATCATCTTAATTCATTATCTTCTCGAACCATTCTCTGAGTTTGGTTGGACTTTGGGCTGAAGCTGAAATCTCTTCAGTATTGTTACAACATTTAAAGGAGGCAACTCAACGAGGTATGGGAACAAAGACACTACAAAGTTTAATCAACATAGATCACCCAAAACAAGAAGTGTTCCAATCTTCTCGCACTTCCTCTTCCTCTCTCACCGTTCATTTAGTCCATCCTCGTGCGCTGGTGCGCAACCATAGAGTCACTACAGAACATGGTCATTACAGTATCATTTTTCGGTACACTGGACCGTTTACACACCTTTCTATCGACTTCAGCACACCGCTAGGACGTCCTCAACCAAATAACTGAGACTAGCCGCACTTGGTTAAAACTGGTCGAACAAAAAAAGTCATATTTTATTTCGTGGTTTTTTTTTTAGGAAAAAAAAGGGGGGGGGGGGAATCACGAGGAGCTGCCGCACTGGGCATCATATACCCTGGCAACGCCATTGGTATGTATATATGTTTGTGTGAGTGTGTGTGTGTGAGAGAGAGAGAGAGAGAGAGAGAGAAAGAGGGTGTGTGTGTGGGTGTATAGCTTATATTAATTTTTGTGAACGGCCGTGTGCTTTGTGATTCGACCAACCGAGATCCTAACTCAACAATTCAGTTTGTTGTGGACTACATGGACCGTGAAATATAAGCTCGACATGACATCATATACCATGATCAAAGGCACAGTCGCCTATGACATTCTTCTTTGTTTAGAGTCAGTAAAGTTTCCGTCAATGTCAACGTCATGTCTGCCCTGGCACGCGCCAGTCACATGACCAGGAAAATAAATTGTTGCATGGGTGGTGGTGAAAATTAGAGGAAAAAAAAACAGGAAAAGAAAACTCCGGATCATCCCCCAAGGTCCTATCAGCCTTAGGGCCTTTTTTTTTTTAAGTTGATGAATATGGGACTTAACTCTGTCAGTCTAGGTGTGTTTGCTTTCAATATTTCCAATCTAGCTTTTGTTCAATTATATTTCCTTTGTGTAACATTCCCAATAAGACTTCATGGCTTTCTTTCTGAATCATTTTCTCTCTATCTCTATCTCTCTTATTCTGACTCTATCTCTCATTCTATCTTTATCACTTCGCGCGCGCGGCATTCGTGCATGTTTTAGTAATCTCGCCAATCAATCGTAGCATCCCCCCCCCCCCACTCCCTTGTGTCCTAGCGTAGTCTCAACAATGTTTCTATCTTATGCTCCACTATTTCCTTAATCAATCATCTCTTCAAGCCTCTTTAAACATAAATACACTAGTTCTTCTTTCTTTTTTGTTGGTGTTGTTTTTAATGTCTTTGGTAATTAGACCCCCCACCCCCCCACTCAACCTCCCAAGCTAAGCTCCCATGTATTTCTTTTTCTAGAGGTGGAGGAGACACACGTAGTTTAGAACACAGCTACGTGGGGCGAGTAGAAAAGTCCAGTCGAATGGGAATATGCGCAGGACTTTGTTTTTTGATCACCAAGTTATCTTATAAAATACAGACGTTCCTTCAAACGAAAAGATAATTAGAGGCCTACGTCTTACGCGTGCCTACAAGTTCAACTTCAACTCCGGTCTTGGAAACAGTCCTGACCTCAGAGAAGACCTACGTGACCTACTAGTACTAATACCTGACCATATAAAAGACCTACATGATCTAAACAGAGTACGTTTGCCAAAGATTGAGAATTGTTTTAGAAACATGAGTATTTATTTTGTTTGTTATTATTAACAAGCTAATTGTTGATGAATTCATAATCAAGGGGAATTCCCACTAAAAAAACAAAAAAGGTTTTGTAAAGTCATTGAAATGTAACAGTAACGTTTTTTTTTTTCACTACGTCACTGAAGCAAGTTTTGTAAACTCCTCGCCTACAAAACGCACGCACGCACACACACACCGACCGACCAATCACATTACGTGAGTGTAGTAATGGAAACGTTTGGGTTGCTTCCCCTCTGAATGTTTTCATTTGAAGTTTACAAATGTTGCTTTTTTTTTCTTCTTAGGTTTGACCTTATATCGCCTCAGTATTTCTCTTTATGGCTTGTTTTTCTCTCTCTTTTTTGTAAAGAGAATTTTATTGCTAAAGAATGTAAACAGAATCTTTAGAAGGCCAACTTTTTAAATCATGTATTTCTTTTTGGTTTCCCGAGAAAGAAGTTTAAAATAAACTCCTTACCCCCCCCCCCCCCCCCCCCACTTAAATGAAGCAAAAGTAAAGTTTCTTTTTCAGACCTTGCGATCTATAGGGCAGATAATATTAATGTCATCTGTTTCTTTGGACAACGGTTAACGAGGGTGTCATGTGGTCAGCACAACAACCAACCGCCTTTTCTTTCCCCAACTTAAGTAAGGTACTCAAACGACCAACATATTAAAAAATCCATCTACTTCTTCCAATCCTATTTTGTTGGCATTGAGAAATTTCTAGAGCAAATATTGTTTGATTATAACAACTAGGGAAGGGAAGTAAGTCACCGTCTGCCTATCAGCTGGACAGGTTTCTTATTCCTCCATTTGGTGAACAAACTAGGCTTGGTCAAGTGCAGCTGGAGTACATGCCCTTTGTTATTCGGGTCTCCTGTTTGAGAGATAATACAGCAAATTTGGACAACTGGAGTGGACATGGTCGCCCAGACATTATAGAAAACGTTAATGCATTTGTGTTAGGATGTTTGTGTGTGTCTTCAGCCTAATGGCACCATGAAACAAATGAATGGATGAAATAGGAAACACACACACACACAAGCCATTGGACAACGATCTAGTCAAACAACCAAAAGTCTGATCCAATGAATTACTGAACCTTTGTTTTTTTTCAAATAAAAGGCTAAAAGTGTGTTTACTGATGTGCACACACGCGGCGGTGACATGCCATGTTCTAGAATAGTCTAGATCTTATATTACAATCATAGAATATCATTTTTTATGTATTTGATCTGCTGGGCTTTTTTATTTTAAACTTGAGATGAAACCGATTTGTTTTCTGAGTGATCGTGAGTGCGAGTAGCCTGTGTTGTTTTGTTACCTACATTAAGAACCAATTCTAGAGTCCCATTCCAAACCAACTTAGCACACGTCTGCTCAAAGTGGAGATGACACAAAACAAAATATTGTAGTTTTATAAACTTATAAGCTAAGCGTACATTTTTAACTTGCAGAGTTTATAATTTCTAAGTGGACCATGAATACATTACATCTACCTGCTACCAGACTGACCTATACACAAGTCTGCTGACGATACTGCACTAAGAAAACCTCGCGCTTTGTTCGATTGTACATCGGGGACAAGTGGACAGGCCATATCCTACCAATTTAAGTACATATGTTCCAAGATTTCGTGGTCACACCATGCCCTACCAATAAAAGTACACATACGTTCCAGGATTAAGTGGACGTGCCGCAGTTTATTTCTGAGAAGGATACCCCATCGTCTACTGAATGCTACAAAGTTTTTTTGTTTTTTTTTTGACATATTGGTTATATAGAGGGCTATGTGTAATTATAATTTTGTGGATATCACTTTGAGTGGGTTTATAATTAGGATGGCTTAGCATGCCCACAAAACCATAGACTATAGGCCTATATAAACAAAACAAACAACATAAGTCCAACCTCGTGGCGCTAATGTTTTAATCTCTGACTTTCTCCAGTGTTACATTTGTTTGTAGAACAAAAACACAGAAAACAAAATCTAAGTTCACTAGATCTATCTAGAAATCAATGATAACACAAACAGTAGACACTAATACATCAGGTGATTAAAAAATGGATGTAGTTCTTCATCATGGACGAACATTAAATCTCTAACAGAAATCAAACAAAATGTAAGAAATTTGACACAGTGAGCATCAGACCAAGCGGTGACAGGCACTCCAAGGCATTCAACTCTAATAGGCTCTCTAATTCTCCAGTAGATCTAATCTATTAGGTACAAAGAGTCTGGGTGACAATCAGAGAAATTTAAATTGGACAAACATGACTACACATTCTGTATAATGTCAATACTATGCATAACGCGTTAGGAATAAATTCATATTTTCAACCTTTATTAGGGTTTGAGAATTGAATGTGTGATAGCCCCCAATTGTTACGAACATGTTAACTATCATATTTTTATCATAACAAAAATAATACTAACAATAATTCACTTCAAAACAAATCTTAAAAAAAATAATAATTCACACTTGGGCCAGTAACAAATAAAGCGAACAACCAATGAACACAATACATATATATATATATATATATATATATAGTCTTGTCTACTATAGTCGGCGCTGTCAATCTGGTCTATAGAAAAAATAAAATTGTAAACGTTGATCACGTGTCCCGATGAAGTACCTGATCAATTATTTCACCGCTCCTATCCTTGCGTGTTCTGCTAGAAAAAGATAACTATCTTAACATGGCCTCGTTCTGATTTTTAAGTTTTATAGAGAGCTCGGTGATTATCCAGTAATAACAGAGAGATTTTCTATGCTTAAATAGGTCACAGTTTAATTGCCGCTAATTTAAACTTAGCATGATCAGCTGAACTGTCTTTGTAAACTATCTTAAGTGGAAAAACAAATAGATATTAGTGCACTCAGACTTATGAACTAAACTAGTCAGAACTCAAGTCCAATCCTTTATACTACACTCGTAGAATGTAGAGTATGTGACGTACTGATCAACTCTATTCAACGATTTGATTCATTCCATTTCTTTGTTGCTTACTTTACAGGAAATGTCAGGAATGAAGAAATGATTCAAACACATGCAACTGTCCTGCTCTTCAGGTACCCATAGTGTGTGTTTCCATGACGACTGGAGGAAGAACACATACACCAAGTCTTTGTCAATATATTTTTCAAACAAATACTTGAGAAAGTACAGGATGCAAAAATGTTTGAATCTTATACAATGTAGACAAGTAACTTGAAACGTTAACTACAGTCTTGCCTCTACATATATTTTTGTGAGTTCAGGATCTCAGGTTTGACCACCACAAAAGAGTTACAAGAGACTATTGACACACAAATTCCTTTGTTCCCCTGGCAATCCAATACAATGGATATATCTGATGTAAACATTTCACATGTATTTTTTTAATGCACAAATTATAGGATGAATTTACTCATACATAATAGAGATAATTAATTGTATTATTTCAGTTGGACATTCAGGTGACCTAACATAGACATATATTTCAGTTGGACATCCAGGTGACCTAACATAGAGACATATATTTCAGTTGGACATCCAAGTGACCTACGGTAACATAGATATGTATAGGTATTTCAAACATGTTTTACTGAGAATTAGCAGACCATGAAAGAATTAAATGGCTCTCTCTATTCTCACAAAAAATGAGCTCCTGTGAACTCTTTTACATCTCAAGCAGTGACAAATCTAGCACTGGAATGTCAAGACTGTCTCCAATATTGTACAGGTGGTAGAGCCTTGACATTGTTATTTTATCTGACCACTGCAAACTTATTTTATCTGACCACTACATGAAATTGGTTTGTTGCTCTGTCTCAAGTCAAATGTCACAAGTCAAACACTAAATCAAATGACTTCCATTGAAAATCTCTACAATAAAATCATGAAATTCACACCATCAAGAACATAAAAAATAAAATTATATATCATACACTTAAGTGCTAACTCCCAGCACCTAGGTGCCTACAACTAGCACTGTGGTGATATCCACAAGCACTTGGGTGCTGCCAAACAGGTTAACAAATGGAGTGAGACAATGCCATGTTCAGTTTTCATAATAGTGAAGTCAAAATGATGTCAAACAGATAGAAGCTCTGGTAAGACTCAGTCCAAACTGCAGTACTAAAGCAGATAGAAGCTCCAAACTGCAATACTAAGATTCTATTTAACACTTTTTGACTTATAAATAGCTGTTGCACAAGTGAACCTCATTAGGTGATTCCAAATGTTTGAGCCATAGAGAAACCAAATAGAATGAGATCTTATACAGAAAAGATAATGGGACATCCTGCTCATCAGTTAGACAAGCAGAACTGAAATCAAGGTTTAGAATGATTCAATTTAAACAAAATAAGATAAAGCCTCGTTGTTACAGACTGTACAAAAACAACAACAACAAAAAAAGAAATGGATCTAACAATACAATGAACTAGTAAATGAACAAAGAATACAATGAACTAGTAAATGAACAAAGAATACAAAGAACTAGTAAATGAACAAAGAATACAATGAACTAGTAAATGAACAAAGAATACAATGAACTAGTAAATGAACAAAGAATACAAAGAACTAGTAAATGAACAAAGAATACAATGAACTAGTAAATGAACAAAGAATACAATGAACTAGTAAATGAACAGACAGTAGAATGAACAAGTCAAGACTACTGCACTCATGCTCAGGAACTCAAAACAAACACATAAGCTTTAAGCAAATAAGTAAATGTATAAATACATCAATATTTGAATAATATGTTGTATAAAGTGTCAATAATGACAATACATACTATTTATAGATTTGTATAAGTAAAGAATCAGGACGGAAAAATCAAACAAAAAAATTGTCAATAATTATGGAATTTTGTTACATAGGTACTGACACTGACTTGTGTATATAGAGACCAGTGATAGAAAAAAAAATCCAAGCTCTAAACAAAAATCTCTTCACAAACAAAAATCTCTTCACAGGTTTGTTAACAGAATTCATTGAAGTGAGGAAAAAAAAAAGGTGCAAGAATTTTTTGCTCAATTGCAAGCAAGTCAAGATGAAGAGAGAGAGAACAAAATGATCATTAGACTAGCAGACTTGAAATGGACAGAATAGTTGGAATAGATTACTAGAAAAGGTTAAATACAAATTCATTCTAAAATGAGGAATGAATCAAAGCAAATCATAGTCAAAAATGGTATGACAGACCAAAGCAAATAAATGAGATATTAGTTCAAAATTAGAACTCAGTGAAATATTGGCAAGTTTTGAGTCCAGATAATTAAAAAGATAATTAGCAATGTCAAACAGTAGAAAGAAGTTAAGTTATAAAAAAAAAAAGATCCAGTTAGGCACAGAATTCAAGATACAAAAATAAAAGATGCTCAAAAGAACCTGTTCCATGATACAATAGTGAGGATCAAGACAATCCAAGAACCCATTAGTCACTAGAGCTATTTAAAGTAATACTCAAACAAAATAGGAATTGTCAAATGTAGTCTTATTGAATTTACAGTAATATAACACAAAAATTGGCAGTATAAATAAAAAAAACTGAACATTGTGAAAAAAAAAATTTAAAAAAAAATAAATTCCTTATTAAAAAGCATTCATCACAGAATAACATGCTCAAAACAAACTGCAATCACTGTAATAAGTGACTGTTCTGTCCAAATAAGTTCAAAGTGAAATCAGATCAAAAAGAGATCTAAAAAGACAGGTTTAAAAGATCAAAGCATTAACTCTTGGTTACCAAAGATAAAAAAAAAATTCTCTAGATTGTTCCCATGAGATATTATTGAATGATATAACTGAATTTAAAATGTTGGTAACAGAAAACAAATTATATGTTCTTAAAAAAACAACAACATTGACTTTAAAAATGAGAATTACAGAGAAACTAAGTGATTTGAAACTAATGTTCAATCTCTGGAAATAAATGGTGATTTCTTAGATCTACTATTTCTGAAAAAAAGAAAATTCCAAAATTATATTTGTTTTTCTAAAAGTGACAATAACCGCTTGTAATGATATTTCAAATAATGTAATATTACTAAGCATGAAAAAACAAAAAACACTTTAGATCGATTTAGACAGAACAAGTCAAACAGTAGGCAGAATCAAACAAAAATAAATTTGATGCAAAGCTTCCATAGATAAGCAGAACTAAAAATTCAATTTTGAGATTTAAGAGGCAGAGTTAATTTGATTGAGATTTTATTTTGTCACAATTTGTAAACATTCAAACTAATAAAGACATGTAACATTGGAGCATTTCACTTCAAAAGTTTTCTACTTTCAGACAACATAAAAACTCGTTCTAAAATAGATACAAAATGTCTAGTAGAATCAAATCAAAAAGTTTTACAAATAAAATGTTCCTAAAAAAAATGTGTAAAAACTTATTATCAAAGCTATTGGTCAATGTATTTACACACTGCATCATATGTGTGGTATATGTAGATTACAGGTCTACATTAATTTGATAGAGAAATACTATTAGGTAGCAGTATGTTCTACTAAAGATTCAATTTGAAAAGAAGACTATGACCATAGAAACAGTTACAGTAAGTCAAAAGTTAACAAAATTTCAATTGACTTGCAGACATCTATTCAGTAGGTATTTGAACCCTCTGAGACCTATAGAACTTATGTAGACTTTTAGTTCAGATACTTTAGTTTCAAATGTGGTTTTGACCTATTCATAATATAACAGGCTTTTTAAGTATACAAATTTATTATTTTAAAAAAAAAAATCACTATAAATAAAATTTAATAAATTTCATTTAATACTGTAAATTTTTTTTAAGCAAGGTGAAATTATATTTTTATATACATTATATTTAAGTTTAATTTATAACTTTAATTTTAAATAAAATATATTTTAAACATAATAATTAGTACTCAGCAGTATAAAAAAATTTGTTAGACTCATTAGTATTTAGTTATAATATATATATGTATGTTAAAATGAGTACTTAGTTTTATAAATGAATATACATATTAGAATTATTAGTACTCAGTTTTATATATGTACATATGCTTTATTTAGTTTTATAAATAAATATACGTTAGACTAATTAGTATTTAGTTTTATATAGGTATACATAGGTTAGACTAAGTATTCACTTTATTAAATGAATATATACTTGTTAGTACACCCACTGTATTAGCTAATATAGTGATATTTCTTTTGTATTTGTTTTTGTAACTTGAACCACAGCAATCAAATGTTCAGTTTGGTTGGAATCCAGCTGATTTAACATTGCAAGTTGTTTGATTTCAGATTCTGTTTGATAACAGTGAACTCTTGTATTTCAAAAACTAACATTTTCTTTCTTTCTAAGCAAACCCTAATTAGAAATATGAGTATTATTATATCAATATAACCATCCTAAATGATGTGGTTTATTATTTGTATATGTTCAGGTATAACACTATTAGCATGTAAGGGTCAAACTGTCATGTTATGAAACCTCTAAGTACATGCTGTCATTGTATAGATACAGCACAAGTCAATGCTCTTACTAATGGTACAACACAACTTAACTCTTACTCTTA